TAGTCTTTTCTATATAAAATGTTTCAAATATTTTTTTGTTTTCCAGGATAAAATAACGAGTCATTGAAAAAAAATATTTAAACAAGTCATTGAAGAAGAAGGACAAAATATTTCCAAAGTACCTACCAGTAGACTTAACATTTTGTTAAAGTTTTGTTCTTTCAGTTAGTACAAATCATTGTGGTCTCCTTACCATCCCTGCACATCCCACATAGCACCCTGTAGTTATCATATCATGGCTAGAGAGGACCCCTGGGATCACCTGATACAAGGGCCTCAAATGAGTTTGAAGAAACTGGGGTGCAGAGAAAAACATAAAGAGATTTCCTCAAGGTCAGGCCACCATCAGGAAGGTGAGTCAGACTGAGAACACTAATGACTTCCAGGCAAAGACTGTCCACTTCACTAGGACTTCCAAAAACACAAAGATCAAAATGTTTCTCTGCACATAAAAGACTCAGTTTATGCCCCACATTAAAAAAGGTACTTTGCCAGGTGCAGTGGCACATGCCTGTAATCCCAGCGGCTCAGGAAGCTGAGAGAGGAGGATGCAAGTTCAAAGCCAGCCTCAGCAATTTAGTGAGGCAGTTAGCAACTCAGTGAGACCCTGTCTCTAAACAAATATAAAAAGGGCTGGGGATGTGGCTCAATGGTTGAGCATCCCTAGGTTCAATCTTCAGTACAAAAAAAAAAGTACCTAGAGTCTGATAATTATCATTTCATTCCATATTCCAACTGTGGAATGACACACTTGGGATAGCTGAATCAAAGAACTTTCAGTAGGTTTGCTGTTAAATACATAAATTGTCACTTTTATGTTCTATTTCTTGAAAGGAGAAACTTCAGAAAATGCAGACTTAGCTTTCTTACCTCAAACTCTCTCAACCATTATTTTGAAATAAAAGTAGACAGTTTATGCTTAAAACATAAGAGCCAGATTCTATCTTGAAATACACCACCCACTCTCTAACAGCAGAATTTGGCCCTAAAAGCCAATTAACAAATATTGTCATTAAACTAAAGAGCTAATTACTTTGGAATCAGACAGAATGAACAAAATCATAGGCCAACCACAGCTGGTAGTAATAATGGTGAGACTAACCGTATGTTACACTAGAGATTTGAAGAACAAAGACATATTAACACTAACATAACCAAACACATAAAATTATCTTCCAAATGAAACAAGCTACCATGGTTAGAAAATTCTTGGAAGCACATTGGAATTATCAGATCCACGAACTAAAGATTATTTCCAAGGAATGAATTGCTGTATTATCAGTGTTTAATGAAGAGGGAAACAGAAAACTTTTTTTTCTACTGCAATAGTCTACAAATAAAACATTATATCTAAAAATTATTTTGCTCTAACTAGAAGTACTATTCTTATATTCAAATAATATTAATATAAGATGCAGGAGAGCCTTGCTGTGTTATTTTAAACAACCACTAGTAGGATTTCCTTATAGTGCTAAGAAGTAAAATTTCCAGATAAATGAGAATTGTTCCACTTATTCAGAAACATTTTAAACTTATTTTAAGAATATATGTTTTAAGCCAGGCACGGTGCTGCATACCTGTAATCCCAGTAGCTCAGGAAGCTGAGGTTGAAAGATCTCAAATTCAAAGCCAGCCTCAGCAACTTAGTGAGATCCTTTCTCAAAATAAATAAAAATAAAATAAAAAATAAAAGGGGGATGTGGCTCAGTGGTTAAGCAACCTTGGATTCGATTCCTGGTACCAAAAAAAAAAAAAAAAAAAAAAAGGATCCATCATGCTTTAGGAAAACAAGTTTTACAAATCCCAAGAGGAGATTAAAAAGTCACCCATAATTTTATCAATTGAGGATAACTATCAATATTGTGATTAAATAAATTTTTATTCCTTTAGATTTTCTCCCTTTTCATTTCTAACATTTTAAATGAAAACGGGGCAATACTATAATGTGCTTTTGTAGCTTCTTGTATTTATTTATATAAAATATGACTATTTTTGAGTGTTAGTAATAAATTATACTTTTACTATATAAATTTTGATAGCTTTTCAACTTAAATTGAAAATAATAAACAAATTCTAATCTGTTTGTATAATCCACAGATTTTTTATTGTTATTCAATTTCACAATGCTCCCAAGAGCTTTTTAGATAGGTAAGTCTACTTTCTCTTATGCTGATGGTCCCAGATAGTTCTTCTGTTCTAAAGCAGTGTCTTACTTTGGGTCCTTTTTCACTTTCAATATCAGATTTTCAGGTAAAGTTGACCAAGCCTGAATTAAAGCTAAACTTGCTATTTCTATTTCTAGATTAATGACATTACATATTACACAGGGACAAGGAAAATAACTAAGAATTTTAAATTCAATTACATTTATAAGTACTTATGTATTTTCTTCATGTGTTTAACTTTCGTCGTGGAGGGAAATTTTCTCCTACCATTCTTACCCAAGAAATCATTATTGAAAAATACTCACTTAGGTTTCCTTGCTCAGTCATATCTGACCAGATTGTTTACTGTTCTTTGTGTGAGACTTTTTTATGACAAGTTTGAAGGAGAAAAGAATGCCATCATACATGAGGGGATCAGACTACAAGAACTCAATTATCCTCAGCGAATCTAAAACTTTATGCTTTTATGATTCTATAAAGGTTCTGTAATATGTTGTAGACTTTATGTGCTGCATATTTAGACTGCCTCACTCAAGATTCCTGAAACTGTGTTGTAAGGTGTCTTTAGGGAACCACGATTTAAAAACACACTGGTAAGTACACCAGTGATAATGAACATGACTTGCTTGAGGACACAATTCTACTCTCTGTCCACCTGCTCCTCTGCAAAGAAAAAAGAATAAAAGGTAATAAAAAGAGAGAAACATAGAAAAAAAGACAGAGAACATGTGTGAGAGAAATATGGAGAGATAGGAAATAGAAAAAGTAGTTTCTTTGTTTTTCTGAAATTAAAGTATTACAGAAGAGTTGCACTAAAAGCTTTGAGGAACTTATTCAATCATAACTTATGCTCTGTAGGATTTTTATGATGTTTGTACTATAAATTTTAGCATTTTATGTTCACATGTAATTATCATGTAATTCAGAACAATTTTGATAACAAATGCATGTGAAACTATTAGTATTGTTAATCCAAGTTTGTAAATCTTTAATTTTTGTTACTTGACAAAAACTCTTTTATTTTATGCAGATGACTATAATCAATTTTTATGTTTAATAATAATAGCTAACATGTGTAGCTTAATTAACACTATAAGGATACACTTCCTTCTGATGAAGGGATTTGTTTTTGCCTTTGATAGTTTATGGCCAAGCAATTTGACACAATGTGAAGAACTGCATACAAAGACTGTTAGAGAAAAATGTCATTAAGCCTGAAATTCAATAAAAGGATTAAAAATTTCATTTTTTTACTCTAAAATAATATCACATTGAACCTTTAAGGAACAATCACAGTTTAAAATCTGAATGTAGATTATAATTAAAACTTTTAAAAACTTAAAACACCAATGATGAAAAATTTGCTAATTGAGATAGGAAGTAGAAATACAAGAAAGTGATATTCACTAAATGCACTTGTAACTGGTCATAAATATACCACATGATTTCTAAGTTCTTGTCTACAAACAACTAAAAGTAATGATAAATGTGTTAAGCAGACCTGTTCTTTTTGAGTCTAGGCCTGAGTTTTCAAATTGAAGAGAAAAAATGCAACCCTCAAAATGTAAGAATATTTGGCCAACCCCGGCACTAACTCATTGTATTTTATCTTCTAGACATTTCGTATAATTACATTCAATAACCCTAAGCATCTAAATAAATCAAAACATTACACAGGACAGAGTGATACCTAAGGAGAACAATACCAGGGTTATCACTATGAAAGAAAGACAGGGGCAATTGGGAATGAGCTCATCATGTTGAATTGTAAAAGAGAATATTAAATTTTTTTTAAAGAAAGGATCTCATGAAAATATAAGGGACATCAGTAGAGTAGAGGGAGGAATGAGGGTGGGCATGAGGAAGTACTGGGGAATGAAATCTACCAAACTAAGCTAGGTCCATGTATAAATATACCACAATGAGTCCTATTAAATATATGATATATTGCACTAATTAAAATAATCATAATAATAGGAGGGAGATCAGCAGAGTAGACCAAGCAAATTAGGGAGGGAGAAGAAAAGGGAAAGGCAAGGTACAGGAAATGAGATAGATCAAATTATGCTATGTGCATACGTGAATATGGTATAATGAAGTCCTGTATTATGTATAATTAATTATAAGGCACCAAAAAAATGAATTTAAAAATAAAAAAAGTTAAACTGGTTCTAAAATCTAAGAAAAGAGGAAATATTAAAGAGAATTAATATTTCAAATTGGAGGGCTAAAAGGGAGCACTAATTTAGTGCTTCTGTGCTAAAATCATTCCTTCCTTATTTATTCTCGTGACTAAAGGAAACAAATACTATAAAAGTCCAATTTAACATAAAGTTTAAAAATGAAAAAATATGTTACTCTGAATTCCAATTTCATGTTTCTTTAAGGTCCTAGACCCAAATGCACCAAGATCACTTAAGGCTAAGTAACTGTAAAAATGCAGATTCCTGGGCCATAATTCAGCCCTAGTGAATTAAAGTTTCCATGAAGTATATCCAGAAATCAGCATTTTAAAGACCTTTCTCTTACCTTTATGTGACTGTTAGGCATATTAAAGTCCAAGAACCACTGTATGTCATGCTTCTTTGTGTGAATGATTATTGGATTTCCATGATTTCCACTGTGCCTTTCTTATGTATTCATGACATTCAACAATTTAAACATTATATTTCATTTATTTTCTCTTTTTTTTTTTCTGTAGAACTGCACATAGGCAGCTCTATTTCTGACCTTTAACAACTGCTTTTAACTTTCATATGTTTTTTTTTAAAAAATGTTTTTCACTTTTGATGTAAAGTTACATAGATATGTGAGTTACCTCCAAAATTCACTTACCTTCAAATCCTTGTGCTCATCCAGAAAGTTTTGAACATACGATAGAGACAATCAAGAAGAATATATGTGGTGGATTCTTCAATTTCCAAGGGTGTTAAGATTGGCCAAGGAGACTCCTCAGGTGGACACCAGAAATGCAGATAAGAGAAGCCACCAAGGCTTAAGCCAGTAGATAACTGATTATCTCTAAACAGAACAGAAAAACCAACAGTAGGTCACCTGTAATTCACAGAGAATCATCCATGGAGAAGGTTATTTTCAGTAAACTAGCACTGTTACTAAATTTAAACTTGGCCTGGGCTTGCTGCTCCCTGATTTAGCACAGTTGTCATTTAAAATTTCATGTCATTATGAAGTCAGAATTTCATGATGATACTGCCTGCAGAGAATACTGGTAGAAATCCTATTGCTTTAATTGACTATTTTTTTCTAAACATTGCATCAAGTGATATGATTACTTATTTTTGATGTGCAGGTGCTGTATTTTGGTGATGAAGTCTCTTGGAAATACATCTTCATATGAAACTATTATACCCTGTAAAAGATAAAATAGGATACTCTACTAAATCCCGGTGGAATCATCTGGTAGTTTTGCTATATTGTCTTTCACATGGGTAACACTTGCCAAGATAATTAGGCATATACAAGAATAATATTTTTTTTCTACCCAAGATGTGTTGCCTACTCAGGAAAATTGAAATTCTAGCATCTTTGTTGAATGAGTTGAGCTGAAATTTGTTAGTGGTTAATAGAAAAAGAGAATAAAACATTTCTATTTTAAAAATTGGTATTCAATCATGTAATTATTTTCCTGAAGAGTAGGAAGAAAGCAAAACATAGAAATAAATAAAAATGTCAAATATAAAGTGACAAGAATGTACTACACACACAAGCACAGAATACATTGTATGACAGTAGTTCTCATGTAAGACCTATTTCCTGACCATCATAAAACCATTCCTAACCTTCTTCCTTGCTGTGTTTCACAAAGAGACATCAAAGTGGTCGTATTCTGGCCCATAAATTATGTGAAATATGCTGGGAAGAAATCCTGACAGAATATTGCTTTTAGATAAACAGAAAGATGCTTCCTTCTCTCTTCTCTTCCATAGGTAGAACTATTGTCTTTTCATCATGATGTAAATAAATATCCAGAGAAATAAGGCTACAGCCCTGGTTATTGATAAGCAGCTAAACCAACACCAGTTACTTGGGAACTCTACTGGAATTAAACCACTTAGTTTTCTATTTTTTTTTTTTTTTTGAGAGAAGATTTTCTGGTTTACAAAACACGCCCCAAAATTGCTAAAAAGCAAGTGTCACTGCAAAGATTATTGTGGCATCTATCTTTTAACTCCTTGGCATATAATCTACAATAAGGAAAGTTCTCATTCTGTAGAGTCAAGGACAGCCTTTATGTGACAGAGGTGGGAATCTGCCTTCTTTTGACTCTCCCAAAAGTTGTGCAAATGAAGAATAATGAGACATGAGGTGTTGGTAACTAATTAAAACAAAATGGAGTGAAAAGCCAAGGTCAGGGTAGTTTTGAAGAAAGAGGGTCCAGTGTTAAGAAAGGAGAGAAGCAGGATCTCATCTTTACCTTGGTGCCAAACTATCACATTACTTGAAATCTCAGTAGAAAAGATTGGAGCACCCCAGAGTTCTTTGTTATTATCTTGCTGTGTCCTGGATTCTTTTCTATAAAATGCTTTTCACACTTGTTGCTTCACTATCTCCCTTTCATTAACATTTCTTCTTCAGTTGTACCCCAGGCTCTCACTATCTTTTTCCTCGTCTATTGTTAACAGATTTCCTACTTTCCTAAACACTGCAAAATGTCCTGTAATTGCTTCAAGACTTCTTAATACATATTTCACTGGACCCTACTTCTGTTTAAAACACAAGAGCTGCTGGGTGCTATGTATACACACACATGTATTCCCAGCTACTTGGAGGTTGGCAGTTCTAGGCCAGCCTGGGCAACTTAGACCCAGTTTTAAAAGAAAATTAAAAATGTTTGGGGATATACATAGTTCAGTGGTAGAGCCGAGCATGGGTAAGGCCCTGGGTTCAATTCCCAGCACAAAAACAACAACCAAACATCCCAAACAAACAAAACAACAGTAATAACATTTCATTCTTTAATAATCATCTGCTTTCTTATCCATATTTCATCTTTTTCTATTTATTTATTTAGTATGACTCAGCACTCCTCTCAGGAAACATTTTGAGATTCTTATAATTCATAATGAGATGATACAAATCTAAACCACTATGTTATCCACTGTATATGCTAATAAGAGTACTCATCAAGGTCTATAATGATATCATTTGATGACTCTTGAATTTTATCCTTAGCTTAATATTTTTCCTCTTGTCTCCAGTCATTTCTAACTAGATGACATCTAGATGACATCTTAAGTTGGATGTTTTGAGGATTCTTTAAACTGAGTTTGTCCATAATAGAGCCCATAAATCCTTCCCCTTAAACACACCTTCCCTCCAATGTTCCATGTTCATGTAAATAGAACCATCAGCTGTCAGTTGGAAAAGTCAACAACCAAGTTGGCTTCAAACTTTTAATAATGAATCAGAGTAGATCTGACCTTATTTTCTCCCTGAGGCTCAGTATCTAGTTTCAAATCCTTTTGATTTTACTTCCTGAATAATTTTTAAATCTCTACTTTGATCCTTTTCTCTCCATCCTCTCTTCCTTCTTCCTCTTATACCATGACCTCTAAGACTATGTTTAATTTCCAGAACACTGTAGGATTTCTTTCAGTCTCCCATTATAGATTTTTCCTCTGCATTATATTTTACTCATAGCATCTACAGTGATCTTTTAAAAACACAAATTTAATCACTGTCAATTAAATTGTTTAAAAAAACTTCAATGCTTTACCACTGGTCTCAGGATACAGTGGTTTGACACCATCCAAACCTTTCATTATTTTTCAGCCTTATTGGTCTATATGACAAAAACAGTTTTGTTTAACTCATTTTTATATACACAGCATTTAACAACATGCTTAATACATACTAGGCACTCAATAAATATTTGTTGAATGAATGAACTATTGTCTTTCAATAACCCAAGAACTGGCTCATGTTATTAATTTTCCCTTCATATTTTGTTTTTTGAATTACTTATAAGCATATTGAAGGCAAGAAATGTCTTTTATATCCTATAGCAGAATGCTATGCAAGTAATTGAGGTTCAGGAGTATCTGACTTTACTGATACTGATAATTCATTTCCGATTCCTTTTTAAAAAGTTGAAGTTCGTTTTCTCTCACAATGGCTAGGATACAATTTTTCTATAAGATTAGAAATGAAAAAAAGGAAATATATTATTGCTGTCAGAACTGTGGGAAATAGGATCTAGGTATCTGATCACAATTCTACATAATGTGCACAGATTAATTATAAAGGAGCTGTTCTGCATGATATGGAAAACCTTCATACACAGGGCTGTTAGATGAACAAATACTCATGCATGACATTTGTTATTGTCACTGTCATATTTTCAAATATTTTACATTTCTCTTTAGAAATGATTTATATTCAAAATAGAAGCAAAAATTCAGTAGGTGTAACAGCTAACAGCTAAAGCCTTTCTGAGTAGGGATCAATTATTTTTAGAAAATAGTTACCCCCAATACAAATTAATTTCTAGATATTAGACCTTCAAAATAGGAGGAATATTTCCTAAGGGAGTCTAATAGCAAAGGGAGCCTACAGACAAGCTGACAGAGGGGTGGGAGTGTGCTATGCTACACAGGAGGACCAGGCATACATGGTTCTCCAGGGCTTCCATGTTAGCTGTGGCTAGATAATGGCTTCCAAACTGGAAAAAGGTAGACATGATTAGGATAGCAGAGATCCAGAAATTGAGAAACCAGGAAATAAAAGAATGCAAATTTTATACTTGTATAAAATTCTTGAGCAAGCTTCATCTTCTGGTTCTTAAAAACAAGTTGAAATTTGCCTGAGACACATTTATACATGAAATAATTGCCTTTGGGTTTCCATAGACTGTTGTTCAGTTATAAATACTTTCCAGTTTTCTCAGGGTATTGAATCTGTTGAGGAGTTTGTAAAATTAAAAGAAAAAAGAAGGAATAAAAGATAAAAAGGAACCATCCTCTGTGAAATGCATTTTGAAAGTGACTAAAAATACTTCTCTTAAAAAAGCAGAGAGCAGGCTATTTTACACTTTTCCCCCCAGAGTACTAACAGATATTTTAGGAAGCCAGTGAATCATGATTTAATACTCAATTGATTTTCAAGCAAAATAAGAAAATCCACCAGGATGTTAGTCATGAGTTCATTTTCCCCATAACTTAAATTCTGAAAGGTAGGCTGAAGAGGCACTATTTATTTGCTCATATTCTTCTACTCAGAGAGAGAGAGAGAGAAAGGGAGAATAGTTAACTAGATGATGGAAGAACAGGTTCTCATGCTGTACTTCTTTATACAAGCATCTTTCATGTAGGGGAATAACTGATATTCATGTGTAGAGTATTTCACTTGGTAAACACTTTTTAAAAATTTATTAACTTCTGAATATATTGACAGAATTGGGTTTGTCCTCTTGCACAAAAATTGATATATATTCTATAGTTATAGTATAAATCTTTGGTATTTCTTTTGGTGGTTTTTTATTTAGTGGTTTCTTTTGTTAAGAGTATGAGATTGCTCATTTATTTCTACTTTGTGTAGGTATACCTCTCAATATTGATTTAAAAATCTAAGCTTTGTTTTTTTCCTTTTGGCTCAGCTGGGGGGTATAGGTCAGTGGCAGAGGGCTTGACTAGAGGCTCAAGGCCCTGGCTTGCATCCCTGGCAATGGAAAGAATTTTTTCCCCTTTGGCTAAGTCTAATTAACAGATGTTGAACAGCTATGACAATTCTTATTGATAAAAAGTAAACTTTACCTTGAAATTTCGAAAATTCGCCAAGGAAACAAGAAATAGTATATGATAAGAACCAAACAAGTGAAAAATTCACATCCATAATTACCCTTAGATGATCAGCCTTCTGTGATTTTATCCACCAGTGAGAGACTGAGGAGCTTGGAAAATCTCAATATTCCATTAAGAAGATCTGAAAATAAGGTCATTACAAGGAGACAGGACCGGAATATAACTATAGAAACTAAATTTGCAGGGGAGGGTATGGATAGA